TTTTTCCTTCCCCATCAGGTCATCATTTTTCATTTTTTGGTTTGAACATTTCAAATTCTGGTTTGGACTTTGAGTTATAGTCAATGAAGAAATGTTAGTTAATTTAAGCGAGTATTAAGACATTAATAAGTCAGATTTTAAGCCGCAAAAATGAATTCCCAAACTTCCAAATTCCAAAACTAACCCCTTTTTTTTTTTTTTGGAAAATATGACTTCTTTTAGGTGAGATTCTAACTCAGTTTGACACTTTGCTCAATTGAATGTAAACCTTTGAGTTCTTAATGGTATGGTACATTGCTGTGTTGTCTAGAGTGAAGAAGGTTCAGCTTTCAGAGTCTCCTCAGGGATTTAGAAGTCCAATAAGACCTCCTAAACGTACTATCAATTCAAATGTGAGACATTTAACTTGCTCAATTTTGGTTAAGATTTGGTTGGTTTGTGCACAATGTGTTAAACTTCTTATGAATTTTCCAGGCTGACTCTGCTGTACCTGCAAGTGGTAACTCTGATGAACTTGATTGCCATTGTCCTCCTGAGATTTGTTGTAACTGTACATCAGGGAGCTATGAGAATTGGATGCTGTTGTCAGTTTGTGGAGAAAAGCCTGTACCACGCCTAAATGTAAAATAAAGTTCTTGTCAATTCCAAGATGGATTTATTTTGTGCATTTTAGTTAGACTTAGAAATTTGAGCTATGATGCCATAATTAAAAATCCCTTTTTTCCCCATGATTCCATGAATAGCATGCAGCAGCTGTAATTGGAAACAAGATGATAGTGGTTGGTGGTGAATCTGGGAATGGATTGTTAGATGATGTTCAGGTATAAAATACAATGTGCAAATAATTTGTGGTTTATGAATGAGGAATGTCTTGCTTATTTCATTTGGTTTGTTTTTTTAATAATTTATATAGACTTGATGCACTGCATAAACTCTTATGCAATAAGTTATTTTTCCAATAGGTGCTTAATTTCGATAACTTTACCTGGAGCACAGCTTCATCAAAGCTTTACTTGTCACCAAGCAGTCTTCCACTGAAAATCCCTGCATGCATGGGTCATAGCCTGGTATCTTCCTTTTATATTATATCTCTTTACTTGTGAAGGCTATATTGGAGTTGAATTTGGTTTCTGCATGCTCTATCACATTGAATGTTTTGTACTGGAAGGTACCTACTGTGCCATGTCTATAGCCCAAAAATAGGAAAATATCAAAACAGAACTTAGAGACTTGTGGAACTCATGCTTTTGTGACCATGGAGTCTGACGGAGAGGAAGTGAAAGCGCCACAACTGATAATAGAAGGAAAAAT